TTGTTAAATAATATATTTGGTAGAATCAAATATTGGCACTAAAAGATGACACCATAATCACTATTTCATTGTTGCCATTAGTCTTACAGCTCATAAACATATGTATTTTTCTTTACTTACGGTTTTTCAAATGTGGTACAGACTCACTAACCTTTACCTACGACACATAAAGCTGTAAAAATATAACCACAATCACAGCTAGTAGCTAGATATCTACAACTACATTGCATATACTTACACTTGACTTGTTACGTTTTTTTGCCATATAGCTATGGATTTTTTCTGCAGCCATATGGAAAGTTTGCTGTGTAAAAATAGAATTAGATAATACCATTTAACCAATTTTCCACGGTTTATGTAATTAATTATTTAAAAGGTGGGGTCAGATACTTGCAAAAAAAATGCCCACCTAGCAGATTCAGATGCTGCTGCATCTGTTAAGGGCCCTCAGTTGAGCTGCCACTAAACCATTTGGATTGAGAGAGTTGAGGAAAAAGGGAGGAGAGTGAAGGAGAAGTCTCTCCTCTCTCTTTTTTGGATAAAGTTATTAAGGAAGGGGGATAGAGGGAGAGGTAGATAAAGGGGCCATGAATTCCCTCCAAATCCTTTATTTTTAATCCCTCTAAGTTAAGAAGATTTAGAAGGATTTAATTTACTTTTATTTTATTTTTACTCTTTTTCAAAAATGTAATTAAAATTTCTATTTTAGTTTTAATTTTAATTTTAATACATAAATTTATAAAATTTTAATTAATTTTATAAGTATTTTTTAATGTATTTAATTAAATAAAAAAAATAAAATCTTCCTCTCCATCTCCTTCCTCTTTTTTTAATCTATTTAAACAAAATTAATACTAATTTTTTACTCTCATATTCTTCCCTCTTCTTCCCCTCCCTTTCCTTCACTTTCCTTTACTAATTTTTATCCAAACATATCTAAATAGTTAATATTAAGAAAAAAAAGGAAAGCAGTTTTTAGAGTTCAGGGTACGCAGAAACTTACATGTTGCTGCTTTGGTACTTCTGATGGACTGACAGTTTCATATATTGTGGAACTCGGTTCTTCATTCTTTCCCTGAATCGTGCCACAATATTATTCAAAACAGTTCGAAGGGAAAAAAACAAAGCACTTTATGATGGTACCATTTTCAAAATTTTGGAAAAAAATATAATTAAACTGAAAAAAAGATTTTTTCAGTTTCCAAAACAAAGTAGAATTTTGCAGCAAGAATTTAATTTTGAAAAAAAAAAAAAAGAATCAAAGAACTCTAACCAAATAAAATTTCCACATTCAGTATCAAAATTTAAATGAGAAAGAAAAAAAAAAAATATTACTAAACGGTTAATAGGATTCTATTTGGTATGATTTTCTTTAATATGTTTGTGGGTTTTTAGATTTTAGTTTTGGTTTTAGTCAATTTTGCAATTACTAAAAATCAAAACAAAAAACAAAAATTAACAATTTTTTTAAGATGAGTTTTAACACTAATAACAAAAAATATAAACTTATTTAATAATATTAAGACTTTTGTTTCTTATTTCTCTATTATTCATAATAATATATTATAAAAGCAAATAAAAGTAAATGAGGTTTATAGTTAAAGCTGCAAAAATTTATAAAAACCAAAAACCACAACTATAGTACATGAAGCCTAAGTTTCTATTTCTCTAGTTGAGCAAACTTACCCATTCACCTCCTTGCGAAACCTGCAATTTGTCAAATCTATTTTGATGCTTCTCCACTTCCCTTATTTGCCCCTGAAACCCAGCTTCCCACTTAAGATCTCTTACTTCCTTCTTCAAAGCTCTTACTTCCGCCTCAAGCTTGGCTTCCCTTACTGCCGCCTCAAGCTTGGCTTCCCTTACTGCCGCCGCCTCAAGCTGGGCTTCACTTACTTCTGCCTTAAGCCGAGCTTCACTTACTTCTGCCTTAAGCCGAGCTTCACTTACTTCCGCCTTAAGCCGAGCTTCACTTAAGTGAGCCTCAAACCGAAAGTCCACACTATCTTTCTCTAATTGTTCTAATTTTTTCTTTAATTCTGCCATTTGAGTCTTCCTTTTTAACCTCCATTCCCTGTCCTGAATACATCATAAGTACTCATATGTCAAAACTTTATGTTTGGTTGGATGAAATTCATATTCCTTAATCAAACCTTAAACATCATATATAGCAAATAAGAAATTGCATGAGGAATAAGTATGTAGCTAAAACAATCGATAATAGTTGAATTGAGAGGATGTTTGATACAATTTTTTCAAACTAACAATTAGCTGTTTATCTAATATGACAATGAATAGTATTATTTGAATTATTAATTATAACAATTATTAATGGTTGGATTCAACAAAACTGCTAATTGTTAGTTCCTTATTGCTATAAGCTATATATAAGCTACTTGAATTCTCAAAAGGGGCATGGTATTGAAAAAAGTTTAAATGGCAATTTTGGTCCTTCAACTTTAAGGTTTTGTACAGTTTTTATCCCTCAACTGTTTTAAGCACTATTTTTGTCCCTCAACTCTAAGAAATGCACTTTTTTAGTTTTGCTGTCAATTAGTCCATTAAGTATATCCATATATGCACATTTTATAAGTTCAAAGACTAAATATATAGATATATATATAGACAGACTTAATAGACTAACAGAGAAAAGACCAAAAAAGTACTTGAAATAGTTCAGGGCAAAACCAAAGTTCAGGGACCAAAATTGGTATTCAACCTTGGAAAAATGATTTGGAAGACATTTAAGAGTTTTTTGAAGAGATTTGAGATTGGCTTTCTAATAATGTAACTTTATCTTAACAGAAAATTTTTCTTATCTCCTCTGTAGTTTTTCCCTCACAAGGATATTCCACAATAATAGGGGTTCTTCTTTGTTAATTTGTGGTGATCTTTTTCAATAATTGACCTTAGTGTGAGTTAAATTCAACAATTGCTATCAGAGCTTAAAGAGGAGTGAGATGCGAATCACAACAAATTTTTCACAGTTAACTCAAGGACCCAAGGTGATTATGATATGGTGGGTGACGTGTTCCATGACATGAGTTGAGTTGCTAATTTGAAGGTGGTTGCCAGTTTGATGGACGTGGTTGAGGATGTTGCATAGTCATGAAGAAAGCAAATTTGGATGAAGCAGTGGTGGTGAAGCAATAAGACTTGTGGGAGGTTGCTACCAACAAAGGAATTTGCTGTGAAGATATTTGATGATGATGAGGGGAAGTTGTTTGACGCACTCCATGAGAGATGAAATCAATTTCAAGAAATCGCAATTCAACTTCAATAAGTAAGCCGATTCAATTAGTTTACTCAATAAATATTATTAAATTTATTTTATTAATTATAAATTATTTTTATTTTAATTGATTTTATTTTTAAAATTTATTGAAATCACTTTTACATTAATCAAAGTAATTCTTAATTTTAAAGACTTTATTCTAAAAATTATTAATTTTAAATTAATTTCATTCATTAAATTTATTAATATGCAATATCATACAAATTATAAAATTCTTTTTTCTATTTATTAATTTTAGTCCCAAATTTGCTTGAGAATTGTTTTAATTTTAAATTGATTTCATTCATTTTAGTCATTTATTTTATTTTCAAAATCAAATTGATTTGATTTTAAATTAATTTCACTCTTTAAGCTGAAATAATAATTTAATTTCAAATTAATTTTATTTTTTAAAGTTAATTCAAATTACATTTAAATTAATTTAAAATTTTTCATATATTTGTATTAATTTGAATTTAAATAGATTTTACAATTTAATAATTATTATATTATCTATAAAATAAATGAATAAATATAAAAATTAAAAAAGAGAGAGAGAGAGAGAGAATATTAAAAATGAACTTATTCTGGTCTATAATTTAAAATCAGTCAGGTTTAATTACTACCAGCCAAATATCATTACCCAGCCCCTTTTTAAGACCAATTTTAAACAAACCAGTTAAATTAACCAATTCAGTCAGAATTTCAAAACAATGTTAATTCCATTTAATTTATTGCATTCTTTGTTTTGCTTAGAAGAGTTGATTTATTTTGTATGAAAAAAAATTACAAGGCCTCGCTAATGTGTAATTGCGTGTACGATTGGTTAGCTAATGTGTCAAGGTGAAGTGGGAATAATTACACAAAGGATAATATCAATTGTTGATACCTAGTAATAATTGGGTGATTAATTGAAAGATCACATGGATCACTCGCATGGATAAGAAAGAGAGCTTAGTGGTGGATGGTTTGCCATCACACAAGAAGAAAGAGGTTCAAGTTCGAGGAGTACTTCATTCAAGGGAGAGTATTCAAAGAATTCAAGATCAAAAGGGAGACTGTTGGGATTGTGCCTTGAATTCACGTGGAGATTTGAAATTTATCAAATAAAAGGAAAAAGGGGTAGAATGTTGCAAACTTCTAGAAACAGAAAATAATTTTTGAAACATTAAGCCTTGACCACAATTCCTCTGTGAGGTAGAAACTGTTTCTTACGTGGAGAGTTATTTAGTTTTTTTGGCTGACTTCAATTTAGAGTGTAACTAGAAGAATTTCTACTCCAACCCAAATTTCAGTAGTTGTAACCTAATATAAATGTGTTATTAGCAACTCTAAAATTATACTAACAAGAACTTGGTTGAGTTGGTATCCACTACCTTAAAAAACTTGATTTTGGGTCAAAATCCAAAGTTCAAATCTATTTGCTAACCCTCTAATATAAGAAGAAAAAAAAAAAAAGAGAGAGGGGAATAGCAACTCTAAAATTATATGTCTACAAACATCAAGAGTGGTGTGGTTTAAACCCACAGCACTGGGGTGATAAGAGTGTCTCCATTCTCTTTGGATATTGAGATAGTGAGATTCCTCTATCCAATTAGAGTGTTGAGAATGACTTTTTAACCAATTGAGATTGAACTTCTAATATTATGACTCTTTCTTAATAGTGAATTTTTCTCTTCTTTCTCTCTGATTTTTCACTCACTTTGGAGAGTTTTTCACTTGAAGTGTTCTTCTTTCCTCCTTATAATTCTGCTTAGTTATTTAATCTGCTTACATTATTATATGATAATGCAGTTCATCAATTGGCCTAGGTTATTATTTGCTTTATTATTAAGAAAAGGAGGATTTAGTTCCCAACAAATTGGAATCCTTACAATCAAGCAAGCTTTTGTGTTTTTTCTTCACCAGCTTCCCTGATGGTTGGAGTTATGAAGAAATGTAGAAGACATTTTTGAAATTTGGCAGTACATGCAATCTACAGCCTGAAGAGCAAGGATAAAATAGGAAGCTGATTCAGGTTTGTGCAATTTCTAGAGGTGAAGAATGAAAAAGAGCTAGAGCGCTGCTTAGATCAAATCAGGGTTGAAACCTTTAAGTTAAAGGTTAATTCCTTGGTTCAGCTTGAACAATATTGGTCAGGGTGGCAGAGACACGTGATCTCTTAGAAGGGATCAGTGAAGGAGAGGGAGGAGCAATAAAGATGGATTTGAAAGATAGGGCTGAGAACGTTAGGTTAGAGAAGGATGGGCAAGAAGGGCAGTTGAGCTGAAGATAGGTTGAATGAGATAAGGCGTCAATAGGGATGGGGAACCACCAATCATTGAGATAGGAAATAATTGTGGGCTAACCCAAGATAGTAACAATATTGAAGGAAGGGAGACATCTTATAGAAAGGCATGGAAAGTGATTCCAGGCATGTTAAAGAGCGGATGGGAAGGGGAGAAAGAAGAAGAGATAAAAGAAAAGCAAAAAAAAGGAACAAGCTACAATTGTGAATAAATCAGGGACAAGAAGAACAAGAGAAGACAGCTAAATAAGAAGAATAATCTGGAAGAGGCAACACCATTTTTTTTTTCCAAGTATGTAGACTTCAATGGCAAGAGGATGTATCGGTGATCGTGGAATTGCAATTCGCAACAGGGAAATTTGCAATTTTGAGAGAAGAAATGTAACTAAACAGATGTGGACCATTGCAAACAAACTGGAAGTGACTGCTCAAGGCGATGAGGAAATTATTCAACGAATTAAAGGCATCAAAAACAGAGATACAAATGCAAGGAAAAAGGCTATGGGGAAAGAAAATGGTGGAAGGAAGATAAGTTGCGGTTTTAAATGATTACTAGACCTTAAGCCACGCTTCACAAGGTTTATCTGTATTTTTTTTTTTTTTTTAGATTTTTACTAATTATAAGTTTTTTAATAATAATTAACTATAAATACATCCATCTTAGAGTATTCTTTTTGATAATTAGTAATTTTAAATGCACTAATTCAAAGAAGAAAAAAAGTCTAAATGGTAACATGAAAAAAGATTTAAGTGTACAAATTAATCAATATAATATTAAAAACTAAAGACAAATTTTCAAAATTTGTTAATTTATTAATAAATTATAAAAATTTATCAATCATCTCTATTTATTCTCTCTATATTAATAAATTATTTGATGTTATTCTTTCTCTCCCTTATTATCTCCTCTACTATCTCTTATCCCTATTATTTACATATTTTTCTCAGTTTCTTACATTAAGATAGTATTTCTCTCTATATATTTCCATGAAGAACCTTCAATTTTTTTAATGTGTTTTATCACCATACACTTTCATCATTGTTATGTATTTTAATTCTAAAGTAACTTAGTGCTGGTATCTATCCTCACTTCTCTTTCTTTAACTTTATATTTTTCACATTATTTTACATTTTCATTAATTTTTTGGGTTTATTTCACCTTTACACTCTCATATTATATCCATCTATGATTCTATATATATTTATTTGCAAATCTCTCTATATTAATAATTTATTTTTATATTATTCATTATCCCTTAACCTCCCGTCTCTCTTGTTCTTGTTTAATCATTCGTTGCATATATTCTTTTTCCATCCCTATATATTTTTTTTAAACTAATTTGACTTCCTCTCTCTCCCTTTTTGTATATTAAAAATGTTTTCAAGTTTAAACATAAAAGGCACCACTTATTAGCATTATTATTTGGATACTTAATTTTTTGCATACCTTTAGTCCACCTCCCATTAAGTTTTATTAAGACTCCATCTCTCAGTTTTTTCCTCAAATTTTATAGTATTATATTTAATTCTCTACTTTACATATTATTCTTTCTTTGATTATCTTCCCATCTCTATCATTCTTTTTTACATATTTTGTGCATCTTAATCTATCATTATATATTTTATTTTTTACCCTTTTTCTATTTCAACATGTTTTCATTACAAAAATTTTATATCAAAACTTAAAAGATGTAACTTCTTAATATTATTCTCTTAGTACTTTTCACTTACCTTTACTCCACTTTTATCATTATTTTGTTTTTGGAACTCCATCTCTTAGGTTTTCCTCTTACAATCTAGCATTATATTTCTCTCTACAATACATTCTCTCTCTATATGTATTAGCAAATTGTTTGTTATTATTCTTTCACCACCCTAATCTTTCTTTCTATATTATTCTCTACCAGTCACTGCTTGCATCCTCATCTATTATTATGTCCTTTCTACCCTATTTCCCCCCTTCTCTCTCTCCCTCCCTCTCTCACACACCTTGTCTGTATTAGACATGTTTTAAGCCAAAACATGTGGCGTAACTTTTAAACAATATTCTCTAATTTTTTTTTCACTTATCTTTACTCTAGTTCTCTTATTATTAAATTTCCTTGCAGCTCCATCTTTTTTCCTCGATCGAGTTTTTCTAACCTATACTGTACCCTAAAGATACATTAATTGCACTTTTTTCTCAATAATTGTTATGCAAAAAAATAAAATAAAACAAAATTTGGCTTCAATTTTATTAACAGTACAATTAAAATTTATCAAGTGTTATTAGCGTTGAAAATGAAGTTAATTATTGTATTTTTCTATACACATTAATGAAAAAGAGATGCAATTAGACAAACCCCTTTGTATTAGTAATTCTCACTCTTTATTAGTATTTTATTTGTTTTTATTATTTTTACCATTATCATTTTACTTCTATTATTATTTCTTAATCATTCCTAGTATTTTAATATATCATTATTTATATATTATTTTACCCTAATTCTTGTCTCTTGCCCCTTCTCCATATTAAAAATATTTTATATCAAAACATAAATAACACAATTTCTTAACATTATTATCTTAGTACGTTTTCACTTACTCCACCATTTATTACTTTTCTTGAGCTTCATCTCTTAGGTTACTACTCATTTTATCATTATATATATTTTTACCTTATACTCACTTTAATTTTCTCTCTCCATATTAATAATTTATTTGTTATTATTCTTTCTTATTTACTCTTTGTATCTCTAATTATCATTATATATCTACCCTAATTTCCTTCTATCTTTCATTATCTATATTAGAACTGTTTTAGGTCAAAATATTTGCAAAACTTCTTAACATTATTTTCTAGTTCTTTTTCACCTACCTTTACACCTTAGGGGTCAGAGTACCCCTTCTACTCCTTTAAAAGTAGTGTTCAACTATTGCATTATAATCCTTTTTTTGGTTCTCTTTTTTCCCCTTTTTTTTTCTTTCTAATAGGAGTATTAACAGCCCAACAAAAGTCTTGATAAAATTTTAATATAAAATTTACTAACTTTCCTTATAATACTTGATAGGTTGAATTCTTATACATAATATGATGCTAATTTAGCTTAATCTTATTAATATTTAAATAGATTTAATGTGATTTTATTTAATTTTTAATTATTTTCATTATTTGTATAGGATATGACTTAACTTTTTAGAATCATTAATTTGGAATTAAATCACAATGTTTTACAAAGAAAAATGATGAATAAACAGGTGAAATTGAGGACTAAATTGCAGAATTATAAAATTGACTAAATCTTAAAATTCTGAGATCTAAGTATTAAAATGTAATAATTTTAGAAAATTGAGGACCAACACTATAGTTTTACAATTCTGAAAAGAACCAAAATTTCAAAATTTGATTGTGTCCGGCACCTTTTCTTCTGTCCCCTTTTAGTTGTCCCTTTATATAATTGTAACCCTAACGCTATATAATTGAAAAGATATCAAAGAAATATCAAGTCAAATCCTATAATAAGAAAGTCTAAATAAAATTAATAAGAAATCAACTCTTATTAAGGTTGGATTATAGGAGTAGTATTTAGTATATGGTAGATTTAAATTATTTTTTAACAGGCTTTTTTTAAAAAAGCCCATTGGGTATTTATTAAAAAAATTTTAGAGCCTATTGGGTATTTATTTAGGATTGTTTTAAACCTCAATGAGTATTTGTTTGGAAATTTTAAGAAAAATTTTGTTGTTACAACAATTTTATATAGATAGTTAAGATTAAGATGTTGTCCTATATAATGTTAAAGACTTAGGTGGGAGGCAGATTGATAATTTAAGAACCATGGATAAGAAAATTTCGGACATTTGATGAAAATTGTGTGACATCCCATACCAAAGTGCATGATCACAACTAGTAATATTGTCCGCTTTGGACCTTCAAAATGGGTCTCACAAATTTAAAAGGCCACGCTAGGATGAAGCTCTAGTGTTGTGCATATGGAGTTCTTTTTGAGTGAGGTGAAGATCTTTCTAGTGAATTGAACTAACCCTTAATAAGATCTCTACTATTTTAGTTGCCCCTCTAAGAATTGTTTATTAAGATCATGCAAAGCATGCTTATCTAGAAGATAAAAGCTGAAAATATGTATTGTTTTGCATCCATACAACCCTGTAACCTAAGTGGTCTTACGTATATTTTTAAATTCATAAACCTACTTTCAGCCAAAGGGCAGAGCATAGGATAGGAAGGATTTTCCTTTCCTATTGATTAAGCTGTGTTTTTTTTTTTCTTTTTTCTTTTTTCTCTGAGAGGAAGATGATGACTAAATGGACATACATATTCACCAGCCATATTGGTCTTAGTGTCTTACATCTCTCTTGCTTTCTTCTCCAGCGTTTGTTTGAGTTCGAATAGAAATCTTAGCATTCTAATCTTTCTTAGGGTTCTAATAGAGTTTGGTTGGTTTTTCAAATCTGATTCTAACCCATTATTTTCCCTTCAGCATCCTACACTTCGATTCCAAAAAGGTGAATGACCAGCTAAAAGCTGAATACCTAAAATTCAGCTGTGGGAAAAGTAACAACTAGCTTTCTCATTCCTTTTGTCATGGGGTGGCAACTCCATGGATAACGAGTTACACGTTAATGAGCTTGAAAAAAGCTTGAATCTTTGTACAAGTTAGAGGATTAGGGAAGGGTGTAACAGTATAGACTTTCAGAAAAGCCAATTAATGTTATAAGGATTGGTCTGCCAATGCATTGAATATGAATTTTCATTTCTTGGGTTCAGCAATTGGGTTATTTTTTCTTCTGTCACATTCTTCTCAATATTTTCAGAAGCCCAGTTGGCTATGTTTGTATCGCTTTTGAAGAGCATATATTTATTTTTATATATATATAGTGGAAATCTATTCACACACAAATCTTACACATCACACTTACACAAAATCTCAACTATTGAATAAATGTTGAATAATTTAGATTTATCATGACTTTTGAAGTGAAAAAAGATATTTATCTTTAATAAAAATAATAAGTTTGGTGCATAAGACGTGTGTTATTAAATTCCTACTCATATATATATATATATATATACATATATATATCAACATTTAATAAGGTAAATTTTTTATGACTTTTGAAGTGAAAAAAGATATTTATCTTTAA